ATGAAATACACCAAAATTAGTTAAGTAGGAGTATGTCCATTTTTCCAAGAGATGCAGCAAAAAGTTGCAGGTGTAAGAAAGAAGTGAATCAAACGTCAGTCTGATTTGTCAGTAAGGAGCTCTATGACCTTGAACAAGTCACTTAACCTCTCTGGGACTTATTTCCTCTGTTTAAAAAAGAAACGAATGTGTTGGTGGGGGGTAGTGGTAGTGGTCATGTCAAACATGGGTGATCATTCTCGGTCTCTTCCCCTCTGGGTTATAAGTGGGGAAAACACAGGAAAAGCACAGAACTCTTCCAGAAAGAATCAGAAAAACTGAAAACTTTTATGATGAGAAGAGTAATAGTTAACAAAGGTTTCACAACCTTGCTTTAAATTTTAAAAAGTGCCTTTATATGTATAATTACGTGTACTCCTCACAGCAAGCCCGCAAGGCAGAAAAGGCAGGTATGGATTTAACGCCACTGTGCAAATGGAGTCATTCACCGAAGCTCAGAAATATTAAGCAAGTGGCTCAAGGACACAGAAACAGTGGCTGATCCAGGAGCCCAGCCAGACTGAACAGCAGCACAAAGTCCAGCCTCCTTCCACGTTCAGATGCTGTCCTCTTGTGTGACTAAGGTCTCATGGGATATTTTTGCAGCTTACTAGGTAATAGATGAGTGAAGAATTATCAACGTGCAAACAAAAAGCCCCTTTTGATTTAAAGTTGTTTTTTTGTTCAATTTCTAATTTTGAGAGAGAGCGCATGCGCGAGTGGGGGAGAGAGGGAGAGGGAGGGAGAGAGGCAGAGAGAGGGAGGGAGAGAGGGAGGGAGGGAGGGAGGGGAAAGAGAGACAGAGACAGAGAATCCTAAGCAGGCTCCATGCTGTCAGTGCAGAGCCCAACACGGGGCTCGATCCCATGAACCATGAGATCACGACCTGAGCCGAAATCAAGAGTCAGACGCTTGACTGATTGAGCCATCCAGGTGCCCCCAAACTCCTTTTGATTTAAAATAAGATTCCTTAGGGCGCAGGGGTGGCTTAGTTGGTTAAGCGTCCAACTTCGGCTCAGGTCATGATCTCACGGTTCCTGAGTTCAAGCCCCGCATTGGGCTCTGTGCTGATGGCTTAGAACCTGGAGCCTGCTTTGGTTTCTGTGTCTCCCCCTTTCTCTCTGCCTCTCTCTCTCTCTCTCTCTCTCTCAAAAATGAATAAACATTAAAAAAGATTTTTAATGAAATTCCTTTACAGTTAAAGGAGTTACGTTATATGTGAACTACATGCAAACTAACTCATTATACATTTTCCTACAAAGTTGACCTTGATTCCCTAACAACCTATGAAGACCACTCTTTCAGTCCAAACGAATCTCTTTTAACTGTAAAGCACTACAGTGAAACTGTTATTACTGCAGCTGCCATGTTTTCAACCTTTTTGCATACAGAATAACGGACTTTGATCTTTAAGACTGATTTAGCTATTAAAACATTGAACAGGCTGCTCCCCTTTATACATGGTGGATGTCAAGAGTACAGAGGAAAGTGGCAGAAGTGGATTGATAAGGAAGTTTGGTTTGGTTTGTAACATCTAGGACTGTCACATGTCTACAGCAGTGATGATAATCCTCATCCTATTCTTTGCTCTAAAAGCCATAATCAGCCACAGCAGACCAACTACGACACTAACAAAAAAATCTTAGATATATATGGCCTTCTTCGTAGCCTCAACCTATTTTATCACTCCCTTAAGGTTCGGCATTTCCCCGTGATCCCCGCTGGTCTGCGCTTCTTATCTCCACCCAAGTCAAGGCCCTTATGATTTCTTAAGTCCACAAATCAGCAGACCATGATTTCTCACTCCTGAACACCACTGCCAGCTAAAGAAAGGGTATGAGAAAGGAAAAAGGATCAAAGGTCAGTCTAAGGGCAAAAGAGGGGAAAATCCCAATAAAAGGACCAGAGAAAGTGGAAACTTGACGCGGGTTACATCAGTGTCCTTGTGTATTACTTCATCCTTCCCTTGCAATTCCTCTTTTAAAGCAGTTGGACAAACAGTGAGCCAGAGAAGCATGCCTGAAGTAGAAACTTGGGAAATCAGAGTCTAACGCTCAATGAGCCACAACCAATTATACCTCATCTGATTATCAGGCCCTCAGACACACAAAGACCACACAGTAGATAATAAAAATAAAAAAGGACATCAGAATCTTGGTCAGAAAACTTCAGTTTAAGTCCTGGTATGCTGCATGATTTCCAACAAGTGCACGATTCCCTGAGACTCACTTTTCTAACCTACACACAGGAATAACATGTCAACAATCTATTTTACAGAGTTGCTGTGAAGAGCTAAGTGAGAAATACACTACACGTTTGACGCAAGTAACTTTTTAAATCACTCTAGTGTTGTAAAGGACAATAGAATTCTTCATTGAAGACCCTCTCTCTAATACCACTGTGTACCCATATTCTGCCCCTCTTACAAGTTATCCCGAAATGACCAACACTGAAATGGCTAGTTTTAAAATGGCTTTGCAGACACTGAAATAAACATTTGAAATAAGCATTGTGTAGTCACCTAATAAAAAGTTTATAGAGCCCAACCATAAAGTACAGTTATTCATATACAAGACTACCACTGTCAATAAAATCTACCAAATTTTAGTTCCGGTATGCTAGGTAATCTACATCTTATCTATATCCTACCTATATGCACAGTAGTAGAAAAGCCTGGGGCTTGATATCTGAAGGACCTAAATTTGAATCCCAGTGAGGTTATCATTAAGTGGTAGGCCTTAGGCGAGTCAGACCTGAAACCTTCTCAAATGGAAATTAGGAATACTACTACCTACTTCATAGGATGAAGATTATTGTGATCATGTCTCTCCTGGGCTTAATCTGGTACCTAGTCCACTGTGCTAGCTCAATGCATGGTGGCTAATAATCTGATTGCCTTCCCATTCCCTCATAGCAAGATATTTGTTTTTGGTGTTTTTTTAAGCAATACTAAAATTACATGATTAAACACGCTTAACAAAAACTCTCTCAACCAAATACAATGAAGGGGATTCCCAACAATAACTCACAGATTTTCAAACTGTGCCCTGAAAATTAATGTGAGGAAAGATCAATCCAAAGAGTTTAACAGTCTGACCGTCCTTCAGCAAGTCCTTTATCATATGACAGTATGTGCAGTCAAGTGATTTAAAACCTCAACTACTGCTCCCTTCAGCCACTGGGACACCTGAGGAAGGAGCTCCCCATGACAAGCAACTTCTCTAACAGCTGGGCTGACTAACAGCTCTAACACCTGTCCCTTCCCTGAGGACAGGTGAAAACAGGGAGAATAGGAGAGGGCTTAGCTTAACTTGGAAAGCTAAATTAACTAAGGAAAGCAGATCAAGGAAGATTTAGGACATTAACTTCTTCAGGACTTCACCTTAAGCTTATGCCTCAACTAACTACTCTGGTCAGTCCGCACAGAGCTATATTAATATCCCTTCAAGCTAGTTCCTGTCCTGCTCTAGAGTCCGTGACTATATTCAGATCTGATCTATGACAAAGTTTTTTGTTTTTTTAAAATATAAATGAAATTCTCATTGAAGACCAAGACTGAGGTCTAATCAGACCCCTTTTTCTCTTCCAGCTTAACATTAAGAAACTGCTCAGTTTTTCAAACTACATGACCTTCAGACATGTGCCTTCATCCACTAATAAAGCGGCAATATATAAATCAGACTTGGCGTTGTATTTTCCCCCACAAGATTTTCATGTTTAGAACTTTCCTCATTGCCTTATGCTCAGCCTTTCAGTCAGCCTGACAGTCACCCACAACGACAGCTAAAAAAGACGCCCTGACAACACACAAAAGAACCAGAGGCAAGAGTCAGCATACGTGCACAAACACACACATGTGATGATCTCCTAAGACAAGCTCTCAAAACTCAAAAAATCAGACAGAGATTGATGGTGGAGGAGGGTGGAGCAGGGTGGCCTGGGGAGGAGCCGGATACAAAGAAAAGATTAAGACCTGGGAAGTAAAATGAAAAAGAACTGGGAGAGAGTATTAAGGAGGGAAGAGTCTCCCATTTACCATCTAGAGGAGAGAAGAAGGATTAGAGTAGGTACGAACTAAAGAATCTGTTGGGGAAAAACAAGAGAAAACAAAGAGATTCCACCAAATTGAGACTTCAGAACCAGCCCTCCCTCCTGCTCCAATTCCGTGTTGTTGTTGTTTTTTTCTTCCAGGAAGCTACAACACAGCTTTTTCAACAGGAGGATTACACTAACAAAGCAAATAAAGGAAACCTCTGCTAAAAATGTAACCTACCTACACTGAAAGGTCTAAAGACGGAAATACTTCTTTCCCCGTTTTTTGTAGTGGGTTTCAAAACAGAAGGGACAGGAAGGGGGGAAAGAGCAATAGTGAGAGGGGAGCAGCCAAGCTCCCGAATATGAGGAGTCTTTGGACTACATGCCTATTTTAAGTTTATCTTTTCGTGGGCAAGTTGGCAGATTCTTAAACTAAACACAGCATTCCACTCTGTAAACCACAATCTGAGCCCTGGCTCCAACACCACAGAGAATTGAGGGGCATATGCAGACACAAGGCATATCCAGAACCAGCTCTTGCTTTGGGTCCTACCCTAATATCCCCAAACCGGGAGGCTAAAACTCCAGTCAGGTTTGAATGGACTAACAGTGCAAGGGAAAAGGAGGGGGGGAAAAAAAAGCCAAGTGAAAGGGAGGGCCTAAGTTTAGTCACAAAACCATGCACTTAGAGAGGCTTGTCAACGGGCAGTTAAGTGGAAAATAGTGGACACAGAGAAAGCAGCTACCTAGATAAGCACCTACTGCACGGATTATATCCCTTTTTCTTATGGGGGTGCTACACAAGAAGGAAATTAGTTTTCTACAGAGAAGCCATGCTCCTCTGCCCTGAGCGGCTCCCGTCGCCGGGCAGGGGGGCTGCCCGCCCAGTAAGAGATGTCCAGCGCCACCCTCTAGCACTCACTTACTTTCGTCCGGCCATTGATTTTGTAGTTGCCCAGCTTCCCGTTACAGTGGCGGATCAGGTCGTCCATGCTGCTCATGAGCCGCCCGATGGTTTCGCAGCCGGGCTCCTTGCCCTCGATCCAGGTGATCTTATCGCCTCGGATGTCCTTGGACGAGTCACTCTTCTGGCTGACCAGCTGCCCGTCCGTGAACTTGCCGGTGTCGTGCAGGGCGCGCACCTCGTCGCCGATCTGCTGCCCGGTCTCCTTGCCCAGGAAGTCGTCCACCACACAGATGCCGTGCTTGTTCATGCACGGCACGATGTACTCCAGCGCCAGCTTCAGCGCCGGCAGGGGCTTCGTCTGCCCGTTGGGCCGCAGGCCGCCGCCGTGGCTCAGCCCCTCGCCCGGCGTGTTGCTCGGCGGGTACAGGTTCGCCTTCTCCTGGTACTGCGACGCGCGGGCCAGCGCCTCCTCCTTCGCAGGCTCCACCTCGGCCGCCGCCGCCGCCTGGCCCTGGCCGCCTGCAGCCGCGCGAAGCGGGGGAGCGGCCGCCGCGGGGTCGGCCGCGGGCTTGGCCTTTGCCTTGGCCGCGTCCCCGGCGGCCCGCGCGCCCGCATTCTCGACGGCGGCGGCGCTGTCCCGGCGCGGCACTGCCTTCCTGGCCTCCCTGGCCCCGGCCCCGCCGGCCCTGGGCGGCGGCGCGGAGGCGGGCGGCGCGGAGCCGGGGTGCCGGTGTTGGTCTGCCCAGTCTGGGCGCCCTCGCCGCCCTGGCACACTGGCTTGTGCTTCCAGTCCCATGCTGAGAGTTCTTGTTTGTGTGGAAGAAGAGCGTGTAGCAGCGGCTGCAGCGCGCAGCAGGTTCTCCTCCATCCGGGCACAGCTCGCAGTACTGCCGGTCCGTCATTGCTCGGCCTGGCTCGCCGGGCCTGCTGCTGTCATTAGTCATGGCGGCGGCGTTGGCGACGGCGGCCGAGCAGGACGGGTGGCGGTCGGAGGGTCTGCCCGGGGCCGGAATCGGGCTTGCAGAGGCCGTCACTGCGCCACGCACCTGCCACCGCCTGAGGGAGGCCGGTGCCCCCAGTGCGCGCTCGGCCCGGCCGCTGCCTCGTCCTCGGGTCCGCCGCGCAGCGCCGGCGGCCGCCTCCTTAGTGCCGCCTCATGCTGCTGCGAGCTGAGGGACTGGTGGCCTGCGCGGCGGACGGCGACCTCCGTCGGGCACGCGGGCCTGGACGCGCGAGATCGCCGCCCGGCCGCCGCCGTTCACTGTCCGGGGTCGCCCGGCCCGGCACTTCTGGAAGAGCGCAGGGCGTGCGGGCGCTGACTGGCGCGCTTCCGCACGTACACCACGGTCTCCCGCTGACCCGGGACGGGCGGCGCGCGAGGGCGGAGGGGGCCGAGGGGAGGGCCGAGGGGAGGGCCGAGGGGGCGGCGGGCCGAGTTATCAATACCGGGCGTGCGGGAGGAGCCGGGCCGCCTCCGCTCCCCCGCACGCGGCTCGGCGGGGCTGGGCCTCGGAGTCGGTCACGGCGCCCTGCCCCCGCCCCTCTGCGGGCTCCGCCCGGGGCGGGCTCGGGACGCGGAGGCCGGCGCGGGGACGCCGAGGGGCAGGCCCGGGAGGGCGGAAGGGCGGGGCTGCTCGGCCGCCGCCGGGCCCTAAGCCGCGGACGGTGCCTACACCTGCTGGGGGTTGCGGCGCCGAGCGGGGGACCAGAAGATGGCTGCTATTTGTTTAGGGCCCACCCGGTGTGCGCTAGGCGTGCTCCAGCCTACGCTGCAAGGTGGCTCTCGCCTGGTTTTTTGCCTAGGAGGAAACGGAAATTCAGAGAAGTAAAGTAACTCGCCCAAGGTCACGCAGGACTGGACGGAATCCAGGAATTAGACTCTGTCAGATTCCAAGGCTGCTTTTCCCATCATACCAACACAGCCCCCATTTCGAGGCCTGAAATGGTTAAAAGTACTAATTATTGCTGCGGTGTTCATCCAAGCCCCTATGCCCCGTTCGAGCTACATTTAAAGGTGCTGAAGTTTTGTTCAAATTTTTTAAAAACCATTTCTAAGCCCTGTGAAATCTTGGCGAGTGTCAAACCTTGTGAAGAAATTTTTGGCTACCAAGTTCGATGAGTTAATGCGCATTCCGGTATCCACATTCAGGCACTTAAATTCAAACGGATGAAACTACTGAGAATTGGACTTTGGTGGTCAATGAACACTGCTACGTTAACGTCTTAAAAGAAAAAAAAATCTCGTATTGACAGTCGCTGGTACGCAGGTGAATACAGTTCTTTGTTTTATATAAAGTGAAAACCTTATCAGAAATAAGCCAAAGATTTCTTTCCCCACGCCATTTAAGAATAAAAAGAGCTGCGATTTTGATTGTCAGGATTTTTATTGAACACCTGCTAATGTAGAAATTCTGTGCTAGGCTTTCATATCGTCTGAATAGATTGCAAGTAACGTCGTCAGTCCTTGAGGTGATGGTCTTTCAGACAACATAAAAGTTGAAAGGTGTAGGCAAAGGCAGAAGAATATAAGGAATAATTATAAACCACTCTGTAGAATATTTTTTAAGAAATTAGCCTGAATCCAAAACATCAAAGCTCTTCACCAACTATACAGAACTTAAAAGTGTAATTAAGTTCCTCTGTATAAATGAACAGTTTCCTGGGAATCCAGCCTGGTGAAAGAGGACAGTAATTCCAATTAGTTTGGACTTTGGGAGACCGAGGTAAATGTTATACTCACAGCTTCAAATTCTAAACCAAACTAAAAACCCAACTGTCCGTAAAGAATCTAGATCTGAATCAGTCTCACTTGTGTATCCCAGAGCTTTATTAAATAGAGTAAAATATTGTTTCAGATACTACTAATTAGGCTTTTCAACAAATGTGTTAGGAGCGTGCTACATGCCTTAAGTCCTTGGCATACAAATGAACTAGTTACACTAGTTATACTCAGGAGGTGTATATGTAGTCCAGTGCAGGGAGTAGACTTGTAAATGAAAAAGGACAACCTAGAATTTGGACCAAGTGTCCACAAAGAGTGGGATGGATAGGATGGAAAGGGAACAAAGAAAAAGGAATTGCTGGGTCCGCCTTTGCACTAATCCAGATTCCAAGCAAATTAGTTTAGAAATTCTTTAAAATGTAAAGAAACTATTTAATGGCTTAAGAAAGCAAACTTTTCAAACATTTTTGATATACATAAATTATATAAAGTATAATTTCAATACAAGTAAAACCAAATACTTCTTAGGCCTCCTTTTGCTATGGTAATTATAAATGATTCTTTTTTTCTTGCAATTTTTTAAATGCTTATTATTTATTTTTGAGAGAGACCAGTGTGAGCAGGGGAGGGGCAGAGAGAGAGGGAGACACAGAATCTGAAGTGTGCTCCAGGCTCTGAGCTGTCAGCACAGAGCCTGATGTGGGGCTTGAACCCACGAACCATGAGATCATGGCCTGAACCGAAGTCAGACGCTCAGCTGACTGAGCCACCCAGGTACCCTAATTATAAATGATTCTTAACAATTCTCAAGGGCAGGAACTTTACTGGAGAACACTCATTCCACAAACACTTGATTCTTCTAAACTTAGTTATTTGTAGGTACTAAAAGTAGTCCAACAATTTTGTTAAGAATTACTGTTTGTAATTTGTTAGAATTACTATTTGTTAAGAATTACTATTTGCTCTTCTGGCAATGGTTACATAAGAATTACCTACATAGTGCAAACAAGTGTATTTACATCTCCATATGCTCTTTTCATTATATTTTCATTGATACCTAGTTAAAAGAATAGACGTCCATGTCAAAACCTTCATTAGCTTTCATTTTCCAATTAAGTGTACTAAATCACAAATTGAACATGTACACCTTGAAAATACCTAATCAGTCAAATATGACACTTCCAAAATCTTCATAGGCAGAAGTCAAATATGAAGTATTGTTTCAAGTATTTCCAAAGATCCACAAGTTCTGAATTTTCATTCATTCAGGCTCAATAGTCTGTGAATGAATTCCAAGTTAGGGAGGGTTTCACCACACCGTCTGCTGGCAACGCAACAGCCAATGACAAGTTCACCGACAAGATTCTGGAACTCTACCAGCATTGTAGCAGTCGCCGCGTATTCAGATGTTATACAGAAGAATTGCATTGTCATGTGGGAATTTATCTTATAAACACGTACGGTGCTTAATACTATGTCAGTCTCTGTTCTAATCATTTTGCAAATATTCATTTAATCCTCATAAAAACACTGTCGGGTGGGTACTATTGTTATGCCCATTTACAGAGGGTGAAACAAGAGTAAGGCAATGAGTGTCCCTCCCAATTCTCAGGATTATATGATTAGTAGCATTAGGTGTGTTACCGAATACTCTGGGGAGAACAAAGGCTTGTGCCTCCCAAAGCCAGGAATTATTACAAGTTGTTTCCTGCCCCGAACCTAATCAAGATCTCGAAACCAGAGGATGAATTAAGTAAAAGTTCTGTCATCTCCATATCACACTGGATTGGGTTAAAGGTAACTGACCACCCATCTGGCTTCCCTTTGCTCTTCTGGCAATGTTTACATAAACTGTAAAGCAGTATCCACTACAAGCTGACAAGAGACTTACTGAAAGATCAAGGTGAAGCTGAGAGTAAATACACAGGACAGAGCTAAGTGAGGAAATGAATTTAGAAATGGCCGTGTTGACTCGAGGCAAGCCCAAGGAACAACTTAACCTTCAAGGGACTACCCCATTTCTCCTTTAAAAACATGTTTAAAATTCACAAGAGAGTATCTTCGCCGCTCAGGAAATAAAAATCAAATATCGGATTGTTAACTAGCGACCTCTTGTTTCCCCATCGGTGACAATCTTGTTTTAAAATGTTACAGAGAGCAGAAAAATCACAAGTTATCACATAGGCATCCCACCAAGATAAACAGGAAGACGATCTTTGAGTTCTGGGAAAGCAACTTAAAAATCTGAGCTGTTTTCTAACTATAGTTTTGGGATGTGCACAAGTAGGTGTCGTTGGGAAATAGCACCTGCTCTTCTCTGTACTGGGGGTTCTGCCAGATGCACACATAAGCTGTGTGCTTCCCCACGTACGTGGGGCCAGCTTTACCGTCTACTAAGGTTTCCTCCGAAAATAAGATATTTAAAAAGGTTTTTTTATATACTCAGGAAAATTTATCTATCACCTGACTTTATCAGTTTATGACTGTAAACTTATTCACCAATCCAGTTAAAAATTGATCATCTCATCTCAAGAAACATAAAACTTTAAACCATTTCTCACTATAGTGAATTTTTGTGTTACTAACAAACGTGGGATACTGTGTTGTGTGTTAATATCATTACACAATGAGGGCTTTTGTTCCCCCCCAACAAACATTACTTAATGTTGAACTGACTTTGAGTGTATTCCCAATAAGTAGCTTATACCAAGCTAGGCAGGAGACAGCTAAATAATTTTTTCTGTAGAATTTTTTTGTGTGCAAAAAATGTAAACCTACACAAAAATATTGGTCATCGTATAATCAACCTCGACCCTGATTAGCTCAACAATTATCCACATTTTTACAACCTAGTTCCACCCCCATTTTCCCTTTTTAAAAATTTGTTTTTATTGCGATGTAATTGATGTAGAATATTGTATTAGTTTTAGGTATACAACATAATAATTTAACACATGTACATATTGTGAAATGATTACCACAATGTGTTGGGTTAACATCAATCACCTCACATAGTTAATTTTTTTTCTTGTGATGTGAACATTTAAGCTCTACTCTCTTAGTAACTTTCACATATACAGCACAGTATTGTTAACTATAATCACCACATGGTCCATTAGATCCCCAAGACTTATTGATCTTTTAACTGGAAGTTTGTACCTTCTGACCACCTTCACCCATTTTGCCCACCCCACCAACCCCCACCTCTGGAAACCACCAATC